TCACATGGTGGCTAACAACCATCTGTAACTCCAGTTCCAGGGGAATCCGACGCCCTCTTCTGACCTTCGTGGGCACTGCATGACATGGGCGCACTTATACACATGCAGGCAATACACTCATTCACGTAAAAATAATAAATAAATTTAAAAAGATATAAAAATGGAAATAAACATGAAACGATGTTTAATGGAGTTCAGTGCTAGAGCACCTGCCTGGCATGTATGAGGCATGGGGTTCCACCCCTAACGACCACACACACACATGCTCACACAAGCACACACGCACACACACACACTCATACACTCACACACATTGTTGTTTAATTGTTGGGTTTTTTTTTTTCGTCTTTTTTGAGACAGGGTCTCCTTGTAGTCCCAGCTGTCCTGGAACTCACTATGTAGACCAGGCTAGCCTCAAACACACAAAAATTTGCCTGCCTCTGCCTCCCAAGTGCTGGGATTAAAGGTGTGCACCACCACGCCTGGCCTAGAAATATCCTTTTGAATAATTCAAATTGCTCCTCTACTTAAGAACTTCTTTACTAATTATTTTTTTGCCTCGAGTCCAGTTCCCTGTTCATGGGTACATGGTCACGTTGTTATTTTTCTTTTTAGGATCCATTGACTTTCACGGATGTGTCCTTTGACTTCTCCCAGGAGGAGTGGGAATGCCTAGACTCTGCTCAGAGGGCTTTGTACAGGGAGGTGATGTTGGAGAACTACAGCAATCTGCTGTCCATAGGTGAGGAGATTTTTCTTTGAGAATTTCTTACTGTTCTGCATCCTTTGACAGATAGCAGTGTACTTTGTACATGTATTAGTTTTGTGACTAGGTCTTGGATTCCTTCATAATTAGTGCATTTGGAATGTTTTGGCATCAACAGCTTGTTTATTTTTATCATTTCTTTCCATTTTCAGTTGTTAGAAATATCATTGTTTTTGGTATTAATTTCAGTCACCCATTAGCACATGATACTGTAGCCAGAATCTCAAAGTTCCATTTCCATAGCTGCATTGTGAATCAGTGATAGAACTCAGCATATGAAACCTGAGAAAATTCCTGAGTATCTAATGAGTCTGTCCTAAAAGAATAATTGAGAAATTATTTGGAGAGTCCTCTCTTTTTGTCCACTGTGTTAGAAGCATGGTACTTTCTAGAGAGTCCAGCAAGCGTCATGTGCCTCTTTCTCATACACAGGTTTTGCTGTATGTAAGCCTGTTCTGGTATCCTGTCTGGAGCAAAGCAAAGAGCCCTGGAATGTGAAGAGAGGGGAGACTGTAGCCAACCAGGTAGGATTGAGTGGATGAAGGACGGGCCCAGGTGAGAGGTCCTAAGTAAAGGAAATTACTAGTATACAAGTATCACTTCATTTAATTTTTTAATTAGCTTTTTCATATCTCCGATGTCCAATTTCTTGCCAATGCAAGAAATGGCTGATTTTTCTTCTTACAATATTTTTTCAAGATATATATTTTACTGAATTTTTGTTCATTTCATGAAAATATTTAATCGTGTTTACACCCTCTCCCTGACCTGTACTCCCTAAATACCCCTCAGCACATTTCATGCATCCTGTGATATATATGAAGCCCTATTAGGTTTTTATAATTGTTTGAAATTAGTAAATTTTGTGTCGTTATTTTTGTTTCTGCTTTGAAAATATTTGTGCCCTTCTGAGTCCTTGTGATTTCCATTGTTTTTAAAATCAATGCATTTCTTCCAAAAATGACTGTAAGCCTTTGATGAGACTCAGAATATTTGCTTAGCATTAAGTTCTATATTCTCCTCCTATTTTAGATAAGAATGTGTGTTAATGTGTGTGGCAAGGCACTGAACTTTCAGGTCACTTCATGGTTAGTTTTCCATGGACTGCTGGCCCATTTCAGTGGGATTCCATCTAGTATAAAAACACAAACAGCAAGAAGCAAGAACATCTAAACAGTGGCTGCTATAATACCATCAACTATGAGTATAAACACAAATGCTTGGATGGTTCTTTAGCCAGTGAATCACATCCATCTAACAAAACAATTGTAGTTGCTTCGCACTGGGAGGCCTATATTCTCCCCTACCAGGGGGTTGGACTGGTCTATGCTATCATGCGTGTTCCCCCCGTGAGAGCAGGCAATATATCCAATCGAAAATTTCCTGGTTGGACATACACTAGACGCTCCACTATTGCACCAGCAGGAGCCTCTTGTTAGGTATGTTGCTAGTGCAACATGTGGGATCAATCGTTGAGCAGAATTATAGGGGACAATTCTCCCCCAGTCATCTGCCTATCACATTATGGCACCATGAAAGCCAACCATCCAGTGGGAGGGAGTTTGCAGCTTAGTCCAAGCTTGATTTCTCCCTCTTCTGTGCTTACATCAAATTGTGTCTTCAGCAACAGAAGTTTTCCATCTACTTCTGGTGTAAAACCATTATTGGCAATGGCTTTTATTGTTTTGGGGAAATCTAGTGCCCCTCAGGCCAATACCTCATGGGCGGCAACCCACCTCTGGCACTGGGATTTTCATTTAACATCCATATTGCCTCTAGAAGGGCTTTCATATGGTTCATTCTGTGTGAAGCCTTTTTAAAAAAATATTTTCAATATTATTTTTGTTTTGTGTGTATGAGTGTTATGCCTGCATGTAGGTCAGTGCACCTATTTCGTGCAATACCCATAGAGGACAGAAAAGAGTGTTGAATTCCCTGGAACTGGAGTTACGGACTGTTGTTAGGTGCCATGTTGGTGCTGGATTTGAACCAAGGTCTTCTGCAAGAACACAGGTCTTCTGCAAGAACAGTTAGTGTTCTTAACCGCTGAGCCATCTCTCCAAGCTTTTTTTTTTTTTACTCTGTATCTGGAAAATTTTTTCCCCCTTTATTCCCATAGTTCTTTGTATAGTCCCCCTCTCCCACCTCTCCTTTAACTACCACCTTTTTACATTTTTCTCCCTAGTAAAACCTTTATCCTACTGTTCTTCTCTCTGGCATGCCTTCTTTCCCTTTTCCTCCCTATTTCTCTTGATATTCCTGGTCCCTGTAGTGGCATCAGGATATGCACTCACTTATAGGGTTTTGGTGCTAGGAGCCACAGATGAGGGAGGATATACATCTTTTGTTTTTCTGAGACTGTGTTACTTCTCTTAGTACAACAGTTTCTAGATCCATCCATTTACCTGAAAATTTCATTATTTCATTTTTCTTTCCTGCTAAATAGAACTCCATCGTGTAAACGTATCGCATTTTCATTAATCATTCTACAGTTAAAGACACTGAGGTTGCTTCCATCTCTTACTACTGTGAAAACAACAGCAACAAACATGATTGTACAAGTGTCTCTGCAGTAGGATGAGTCCTTTGGTATATGCCAAGGACTGATACAATGGGGTCATATGGTAGGTTCATTTTTAGTTTTTTTTTGTCCTTTTGATACAGGGTCTCCCTGTAGCCCCAGTTTTCCTGGAACTCACTATGTGTACCAGGATGGCTTTCAACTCAGAGATCCGCGTGCTTCTGCCCCCCAAGTGCGACCATAGGCCTGTCACACCACTCCTGGCTTTACACTCTTTTCCATAGGGGTGCATGAGTTTGCAATCCCACCAGCAGTGAATGAGCGTTCCCCTTTGTCCACATCCTCACCAGAATTTGGTATCATTTGTTCTCTTAATCTTGGTCAGTCTGACTGGGGTAAAGAGAAATCTTAAGTTGGTCTTAAGTTGTATTTCCCTAATTACTAGCGATGTTGAACACTTTTTACGAAGTTTCTTCACCATATTTATTTCCTTTGAGAAGCCTCTGTTTAGATCTTTGGCTCATCTTTTTATTGGGTGATTTTTTTTCTCTTTGTTGTATACTTTCAGATCTCGTATACTAATCACCCCAGTGTTACTCTTGGTACTCAGGGTTGCTTTGGCATTCTGGGGTCTTTTGTGAGTCCATAAGAATTTAAGGATTTATTTTTCCTACATCTGAAGTATGTCATGGGGATTTTGGTTGGGATTGCATTGAATGTGTGTATTCCTTTTGGTGGGATGGTCATTTTCAAAATAATAATTCTTCAAATCCATAGCATGGAGTTCCTTACCTCTAGTGTCTTCCTCAATCCTTCCTTCTGCAAAAAGGGATAATTTGACTTTTTCTTTTCCAATTAGTACTCCTTTCATTTCCTCCTCTTGTCTTACTGCTCTAGCAAGAGTTTCAAGCCCTATGTTGAAAAGGAGTGGAGACAGTGAACATCCTTGTCTGCTTCCTGATTTTAATGGGAATGTGTCCAGCTTTTTAGTTTTTAGAATGATGTTGACTG